AATCCCCACAGCTCCAGCCACTGTGGCAGCCCTTCAGGAAACGCAGAATAAGGACATGAACCAGTATGGACCGGTAAGAGAGTGACCTTTATGTCTTCATACCTGCCTGTTCTGGACCACTACAGGGAATTGGGCTGTCCTTCTTACTCCCTTGTTTGTTAGGGTGCCTACTCTATTACTGTTTTTTTGTGCATGAGCATGGTTATAAATGCTTATGAGAAACTGCTGGAATGTATGTATGTAGGTATAAGTCAGTCTCCCGTGTTTTTCCCGATAAATCTTGTCTAAGTGTGTTTTGTAGTTTGGAGATTGCCCCTTAAGAAAATTGAAGATTACCCAAAGTTACGGTTGCATCTGACGTGATATATTATTGCTGCCTTTGCCAGCCCTGTGAACCTCTAAATTTGAGTACCCGGTGAAATGTTCCAGAATCTTGGATTAGATTTTGTACCGCTTGGGTAGTTGCTTATTTTGCCAACTACAGTTGGTTGGTTCTTTTTTTTCCCTTCAAACAAGGAAACAGCAGTAGGAAAGAGATTTGCTTTTTAATAATGTTGTCTATGAGAACAGCTATGCGAGACATGCATTTCTGGTGATCCATAGCCTCCAGCATGTGATGAGTTCGTGTAATAATTTTTTCTTAAAATAAACAAGGGTTTGATCAATTCCGGTTTTTTCTTCTTTAGCTTTTTTACCTCTCTTAGTTTTGAAGCGTATATGGGCCTATATGCCAGGTGATCTAAAGAAGTACAGTGTCTTAGAAATTGTAGTGTTGTGCTATATTTACACAGCCAACTTCCTAAGCTGTTATCTTACAGTAATAGACTAGCCAATTTAAACGATTTAATTGCTCACGTTGGACTTATGTCTGTCTTTCTCTCTTATGTCTTCTACAATTCCCATTTATAAACATCACCGCCCATCAAATGTTGGAAGAACATTGAAGGAAAATGCGACATAAATCCTTCCCTTCTTCCCTCCCCCAAAAGCATGTTCAGCTCCCTCCTCCCATTTTAAATGCATGTCGCATTTTATTCTTTTTTTTTTTTTCTTCTTCTTCCGTTGAAGGTTTGTTCCTCTTTCCAGATGGGTCCAACTCAGGCTTACAACAACCAGTTTATGAACCAGCCTGGTCCTCGTGGCCCTGCTTCTATGCCAGGCAACATGAACCCATGGAATGACACCTTCCAGCATGAGTGGGCCACCCATGGGCATGAACCAGCCTCGGCCTCCTGGAATGAGTCCCTTCAACACCCATGGGCAGAGGATGCCTCAGCAAGCCTACCCAGGCCCACGCCCCCAGTCTTTGCCTATACAGGGCATAAAGAGACCGTACCCAGGAGAGGTAATAAAATAAATTATATTTGCGTACACTATTATTGTGACTGCAAGTTGCAATGTGCTGGGTAATACGTGGTGTGCATCCCTGTACGATAGGTACATCTTTGTTCCAGCCTTGGTAGGAGTACTGCCGTTAAAATACGAGTAGCAGCAGCTCTTCCTTTTGAGCTTGTAAAGTATTCGGGTTGACCCTTGCTATGTTAGTCAAGATGACAGTCATTAAAACCAAGAAAGACCTAAACCGGCTGAGCCCTCAAAATGTCACTTTGAGATTCTCATGCTAGATGGTGAATTCATAGACTGTAAGCAGACTTCTTTCACAGGAGTGGATTTATTTAACATGACAACTTAAAAGAGATGTTGAAGGTGAAATACTTCATTTGAGCCCAATACATGTGATGTGCATTTTCTTGGATGGTTTTGTTATTCTAAAGAAATACAGGGCCTATGTTGTATAAACACCAATAGTAATAACGTTATTTTAAAGACCAATTGCTTTCCAAACTTCTTGAGGCTTGATTTTCATAGGCACTGAGGTGAATATAAATCATGTTGAACTCGAATCCCTCTGTGTCAGCATTTATCTAATATAAGTTTATTTGGAGTGTGGTATTTCTGTCTAAGTTCCCATGCTGTTATATGGGATCTGCGTGGCTTTGTAGACAAAATTACATTGCCATTGACTTGTATTATGACCTTGGCCAAAACACTTAGGGTCAAAATTTTAAAGAAATTTAGACAACCAAAGATGTAGACGGATGAGCTTTTGGATTTTTAAAAAGCACCAACGCATTTTGCTATTCAAATTGATGTGAATCAGGCAGTAGATGCTTTTGAGAATCTCACCAACTCTCTCTCAGCATCTATATGCACCTAAATGTCTTTACAAATCTAGCCACCAGTTACTAGCTTCAGAAATAATTTACTAGTAAAATTCTGTATTAAACTGAGACTACAACAGCTATAACTCCAGGTGTAGAGCTTTGAATATCATGATACTGCCCTGACTATAATAATAGTAGTAAGATGTTACAGAAAACAGCAAAGAGTACCATGGTATGCATAAAATATAGCAAACATTTATTATTGAGCTACATTTCTTTCCTGATCTGCAAACCAATTTTTTCTTTTTAATAATAAAAAAAATCAGAAATAAAAAAAGTTACGTGCTTTTGCAGGAGTTTCTTTTCTGGGAAGGCTTTTCACTCTGTAAATGTTGCAACTTACTCTACAACTAAGTTAAGAAAACACAGAATGTGGCTTGTTCAGATAATTTTTATCTTCGGATTTCATATTTTAAGGAATACTGTAAATCCCTCTCTGCTGCTTCAGAAGCAGGTTTTTCATTGTAAGCGAATATGAATATGTTCCCAAGAAGTCAATGCTGAACAGTGCCCTAAATGTTACATGCTTGCTGGTATGGAATTCTGCAGATCCCGTAGATGCTATTTGCTTGTTGGGTTTTGAAAGCTTCATTTATGGAAACTTATTATTCAGTTAATTCTTCAAATGGACATTTTATTACCTTTAAAGTTCCAGTTTTCATGACTTTGATTCCGAAACTAGCTAGCACTAGCAAGGTGTTTATGACTAGTAATAGCTTCTATTTAGTTGTTAGGGTATTGCTAAACTCTCTAGCACAGGGCCAGCATAGCAGTTGTATTGAGAAGACAGACATGGACAACACAGCTTCTATTCTCTGCCCATTCCAGGATTTTTTTTTTTATATTACTTTTTCTTTTTGTGCTTTCATTCTCCATCTCCAAAAGGAGCCTCAGGGGTGGGGCTGGTAGCACTTGCAAAAACCCAAAGATTTTGTCAACATTGCATCTGTGGTAATTCTGGTTTCTTCAAACATGGTACCCTTTGACAGCGCTGCAAGGCTGAGAGTGTGTGTGTGTGTACATGGTTATTCTTATCCCACTTCGGTTTGCAGGACTTTTATGCTTTTGAGTGAGTATTCACCTCCAGCTATCAGGGCTCTGGTTTAGGCATGAGTGGCACTAAATTGAGGAGTATTCACCTGGAGGGTTTTTTTGTTTGTTTTGATTCTACCATTGAATGTATGCTAATAATCAATTCAGGACAGCTGCTTGCATGAAACAGATCTTTGTCCTTTTTCATCTCTGTCATGAAATAGCCGAATTACGGAAACCAGCAGTATGGACCAAATAGCCAGTTTCCAAACCAGCCTGGTCAGTACCCCACTCCCAACCCTCCAAGACCCCTTACGTCTCCCAGCTATCCTGGACAGAGGATGCCAAGCCAGCAAAACACAGGACAGTACCCTCCTCCAACAGTCAACATGGGGCAGTATTACAAGGTAAGAATTTTTAGATTATCTTCCTGCATTCTGGTAGACATTTATGAATGAAGTCACATTGATGACTTCATAGATACTGCTTTTACGTAATTAAAGGAAAGGGAGAAAAAAGCACAGTTTTTACTAATATTTTGGATATCACAGAATCAAGTCAATCAGCCAAGTTGCATTGTAATTTCAGAGCAGTTCATAAAGAAAATTGAATGTTACTGCAGCTCATTAAAGGCTTTTACAAGAAAATGTTGGTTTTTCTTTAAATATAGCATGTAAGAAGTACCTAATGGGGTTCAGGTGTAATATTTTCACCTATTCATGGCACCCTGTAAGAATACAACTTTGGAAATTTGTAATAAGCAAGTTCCACATTGCAGCCTCCCACTTTCTGACGTACAGTGGTCACTGTTGGATTAAGCCAGCCCAAACTTAAAAGCTGTTCCAGCTGTAGAATTTATTTTTGAACTGAAGTTTGCGTGACTTTCTCCGACCTCTCCCTCCTCTTTTCTCCTTTTTTTCCCCTTTGTGCTGCTTGTTTTGGGCAAGAATTAGAATTGTTAAAATGTTGCCTAAAACCTGTTTTATGAATACGTCTTGGATAAGTCTTAGTATTTTCCAAACTGAGTTTGTACTGAGGGCTTGCTGAGGTTTGACATCTTTGAAGTGCGCACAAAAGTGATCTGTTGCACACAGGTACTCCAGTGAGTATAAAAATGGGGAGGACCATCGATGGTCTGACCTGCTTTTAAAGCATTAGCTGTTGAAGTCTCCAGACTACATTCTGATTTTGAATGTAGGCTGGAAGATCTAAGATGCGCATTGGCCTTGAACTGGAATTGTTCCGATGTGTTTCACGCAGAAACCACCATTGAAAAAAGGCGGGGGGGGGGGAAACACAAACCTTTACTATAGAGCATCTGTTCTAGGCAACCAGGCTGTCCACTGTGTACCCAAAGGAATGCCTGTTGCATCGTGGCAGCTTTTGCAGTACACTGCCAGGAAGAACACAAGGAGGAGACAGATCCTCAACTACTGTGATTCCAGTGCAGTCACTTATGCTAAAATAACAGCAGAAGATCTGTGTGAAGTTTTTAAGTGACAGATTTTTTTAATATGTTTTACATGTGTTTATTTTAGATGGGGTTTAAATTTTTTGTTTACAGGGTAGTTCTAACAGGGAATCTGTGGTCTTTCCAATGCGTCCCCTATTTTGTATTCAAATATCAATCTTTCTGGAAACAGTTAGAAAATAAGAGACCTTGTTAAGAAGGGAGATTGTTCTGGCTAGGGGAAGAATTCCAGCTTGCCACAGACAGGACCTGAACCTTTGGATTGTAGTGATTGTGGAGATAGTAACTATGTGTTAAAGAAAAAAGCAAAGATGGTTGGAAATGTAAATGCTTAAGATTTCAGAATGCAGCTCTTATGTACTTTAGAGGATCCTAGGCTAGCAGCACAGCATTTAGATACAGAATCAGATTTGAATTCCTGATACTTTGGCTGTCTGTAAAGATTTCCATCTTCTGACACTCTCATGTGTATGTGCTTACGGTACCCGAGCTATTACAAGAGAGTGCCAGTGCCATGCAATTGCAGTTTTGTTTAATATCGGCTTCCTTCGCATCGTCATTATTGGTTTATTCTGTTAACTGCAACAATCCCCTTAACTACAAGAAACAAAACCAGTGGTGTTTTAATACTCTAGCTACTATTTATACTTAACTATCCTTTTTCTCTTAGTTTGTCTTATTCAGCAGCAAACTAAGAACAGAATGAAACTGTAGGTACATAGAATGAAAGACATCCCCTGACCCGCAGAGCTTTCATTCTGAGTAGATGAGTTGGACAGGGGTGGAAGAAAGGATAGATGGAAGTAAAAGGGACGCAGACATTCTGATTGCGTGTCTTTGGATATTGTTTTTCATGTAGGCTTTTGTGCACTGGGGCTATTTTGGGGAGGAAGCCAAAGAGATACAAAAGGCCGGGTGGGTTGGGGTGGTGTGGAAAAACTGAAGCGAATGGCTGGTTCGTTTCAGAAAGAGAGCATTCAGAGCAACGTGATAAGCCTCTTGGCAGCCTTGCTTGTATCTGGTCATTGCCTGAATTAAGCTGGCTGGTCTGCTGGTTTCAGTTCCTGCTTTGCTCGCCTAGCCTGCCTCTTCCCGAAGGCCTCGTGGGACATCCTGTGGTTTCTTGTCCTTCCGGAGTCAGAGGGGCCTGCCTACCTTGTTTGTAGTCTCTGGTGTTTGATAGCAGTACAGTTCACAAGGCTTATTATTCTTATTTTCAGATAACTGCGATAACAATGTGATGTTATTTATTTTCTAGCCATCAAGGCCTGTACCTGTGGCAAATTACCCTCATTCACCTGTTCCAGGAAACCCCACGCCACCAATGACTCCAGGGAGCAATATTCCTCCGTACCTGTCACCTAACCAGGATGTCAAACCACCATTCCCACCTGACATTAAACCAAATATCAATGCTTTACCACCACCTCCAAGTGAGTAGCAAACAGAATGCCCCCACAGTCATTTATTGTCCCTCTGTTCTCTGCCACATACATTTCAGAGTCTGGAAACTAGCTCCAATTGCTGCTCTGGGAGAGGCTTGGATTGCCAAGTTGTGATAGGTGGCATGCACGGTGCAGGCTCACTAGAGCCAGTGGACAGGAAAGAGAAAGATTGCTATCCGCTCCTAAAATAGAGTATCAGAAAAGTTCTTCCAGGTTAAACTTGTAAGGATTTTACTCCTGAAATATTGCTTTGATATGCTTCCTGACGATAAAACACTTGATTTTGGGTTACATTATATGTGCTTGGTAGGCTTGTTTATTGTATGAACTTCCATTGTGGTCTGTTTTGTTCAAGGGCAAAGCCATTCATTGAACATCACTGCAGAATAGTGTAAAATGTGAATATTTATAGTGGTGTCTCTCTTGTGATCCATAGAGGCTTCTTAAGAATATTCAGTAGTATGCCAAAAATTGATATACGTTCCTTTCAAAGCCACTCAACGTCACAGCTACATTTGGCTGGGAACAGGGCAGGAATAACAATCTCTCTGGCTGTATAGCACAAACTATTTGAGGTTTTGAAGTGACTGATGAACAATAGGAGATATCATTTACTAGGGAACTGGGAGAACCTTTATGTTTTCTGTAAAATAACTGCTGCTGCATTAGCACTTTGCAACTGGTGTTTGGAGTTCAGGATAGCTGAAAAATGAAGTAGAAGGAGGTGGCCTGCAGTATTATTTGGGCAAGAACACAGCATTTAAAGACATTTGGACTTCATAGATTAGCTGTAAGTTACCACAAAACCTCGTTTTATGAGATCAGATAGTAATTGAATACCAGTGTCTTTGGTCATTGTATAGTTTCAGCTGATGAAACTGTTGCAACTAATTGGGTAATGCTGATCCCAGTTCAAAGCGGGGAAAATAAGCATTATCAGAGTTTGCCATGATTAAGAGATTTGTTGTCAGTCTTCTGCCAACAGAGTAAGCCTGGACACAGAACCTATCCAGCAATAAAAAACAGGAATTCTTGCCATGCCTGGTTTCTGTTTGTGGCTGGAATGCTAAGGTCCTAATGTTAAGTGTTGGAGAATAGAAGACTTTGGTTTGCCATCGCTATCGGTTTGAGCCCTGTCCCTTGTATCGTTTAGATGATGTAGTTACTTGTGATTTTCTTTTTTGTGTGTATGAACCTGCTAAGTTAGACCCAGTAGCAAATCACTGTTCCATTTGTTACTATTCTGTATAAATATACACATTATTATTGCACTGCAGATGCTAAAGGGAAAGTTCACACTTTCTCTCCCTCTTCGATCCCAGCCAACCACAACGATGAGCTGCGTCTGACGTTTCCTGTGAGAGATGGTGTTGTACTGGAGCCCTTCCGGCTGGAACACAACCTGGCAGTCAGTAACCATGTCTTTCACTTACGGCCAACTGTTCATCAGACGCTGATGTGGAGGTAAGCTCAGCCTTGCTGCGACGAAGTCTTGCATCCAAGTGATGGAGGAGTGGCAGGCCAGATGAACTTCGTTTAGGTTTGCCATGAATTTCACTTTAAAAATTCTGGCTTAGATAGGAAAAATGCCCTTTAAACTCACAGATACTCTCACCTGTCACTTTCCAGAGACGGTATGTTCTAAAATGCTTCCTGATCTGTGTTGCATCTCCTTGCTGATAGCATCTGGCATGCGGAGTTTGAAAAATCACTGCAACTGTTCCATCCTTTCTGCTATGGGTGGAACGGGTGTGGGACATGCACAACCGACACCGGTACAGACTTCCATTTGGGAGACTCTGAAGTCCTAAGTGCTTTGTGGCCTGTGAAATGTTAGTTGCAGGAGTAACTATGCAGGGCTGTTACAGTTTATGCTTAAACTAAATGGTGCTAAGTATCTGGTAATGAAAAATAACACACTAATGAAGGACCTGATTTAGAGGGTTGGTAAAATCATTTGGAAAGACAAGTGCTTAAATCCTCCAAACTTTAGAAACTAACTTCTTAAATTCCCCCTCTTCTATGACTCCACAAGTAAGGACAGGTCAGAAATATTGGAGCATAGCTTTCCACGTACAAAAGCTTCTGATTTTCACTTACAGCGAGTACTACTTTCCAGCACAGAGGAATAGTTTTCCTAGGTGGTACTTTCCTGCATTTAATGTAGATCTGCGTAAGTGATTCCAGGTTACGTCCTGATTCCACCACGCTCATGGAAGGACTTTAGATCAAATGACAATCAGAGCCGTAATTTTTTTTATTTGTGTATTTTCAAATACCACGGAATAATTTTGTCTCCTCGTTTCGTTTTTCTCAGAAAGCATCTCAGTGTTTATCCTGGCTGCTGATTACATTGTTTGAGCCTGTCTTTGTGCACTGTGGAGGCTGGTTAGTTGCTCAGAATCTTGTATGGAGGCTGTTTCACAGGTGTAGCAGCTGAGATGGTAAAATGCAGCATCGTAAGCACATTTTCCATTACGCCTGCCTCACTTTCAGTTTCTTCCCAAGCCTGGACCACATACCGCCTAACCTTAATGGGGCGTAGCTTCAGCTTTTTTCCTTGTGAGGATCTTCTTCCTGTTCACTGGAATCCACTTGAGACTTCTATTTTCATGGTGTGGAAGGCGTGAGGTGGGCAGAGAAGTGCGCTCTGTTCCCTGCCCCCAGGACAGACTCTGGCTCTAAGGCTGAGGCTTGATGCAGGAGTCCTTGCTGCCACGGTGCCCTCCTACCCCAAGGTAGCCTGGGGGTTGGAAGGGAGGGAGATTGCAGGCAGACCACATCCCATAATTAACACCTAACTTTGAGGTCAGTTATTGCTTACTTGCATTTCATTATCGTGGAGTACTCACAGCAGAGGGAGTTTTGGCAGTTATTTGCCGGTTCTTATTAATAAGTAATCACTACTGGGGATTGTGCTGGCTCATTCAGTAGATTTATAGTGCTGCACTGAGGCATGAGGCTGTTTCTTAATATCTGTTCTTTCTTTCTTCCTTAGCTCACCAAACACATAGCCTTTATTTAAAATTATTTTAATGAAGACTCATAGGTAAACTGTGCTCAGGTCTGCTGTTTTGAAAAGCTTGTTAATAGTGGGGAGAACGGATGGTCCTGTAATGAAGTAATTTCACATTTAACTCAGGGCTGGATGGATTCCAGAAAAATGAATTAGTCACATGTGTGGATGGATTTCAGTTTTATAGAGAATGGTGGAATTGAGCCAATTCTTAATATTTGTCTGCCAGTTAAAATATTCGGCAAAACCTCTCATGTGTACACACATAATGAATAGCAATGCAACTATTTTTCTCCCCACTGGGAACTTTTCATGGTTACGAGAAACAGAAAGGTTGAAGGCAGGGAAAATGTCGTCTTGAAGCTGGCTCAGTCTTAGCACTGCTCAGTTATTGGTGGCGTCCCACTGTGGAGACACTGCATGCTAAGAACATGAGGGTCTCCTTAGCTCTGTCACTGTTCTGTGACATTCAGCAGGCCTGCTCAGAGTCCTTGGGAAGACACTTAATCTGCTTGGTTTTTATATTAGGGGTACCAAGCGTTGCTTCCCCCTGGGTTTGGGTGACTGCGGTGTGTTCTCCTGAGGTGAGAATCTCCAGTGGATTTTGCAGAGAGAGCTTTCAAAAAATTGTTAATAAAATATTGGAAAAAAAGTCTGGAAAGACTTAATATAGATGGATTATGTTGAAAGGTCAGGTAATTTGTATTCTATACCCTTCTTTCTTAAAAAAAAAAGTTTTTATCCAGTGCTAAATTTTGATGTTTTGAAATCTGGAAAAGACGATGTTAAGTCAGAATTGAGATCTCTGGTTTTGGATAAGGAAAACGGCAGTTGAGGTGAGGATCTCCTGAATGAGCTGTTGCTCATGGATCTTACAAAGATATCTTCCTTCAGGCAAGATGAAGAAATGAGCACCTAGGTTTTCAAGCATAAAAGATAAATATTCAGCTGTCTTTTACTGTCATGAACAGCAGAATTCTGACATTTCAGTTCAGTTCTTCATGTTCTTTTAAATTTCTTTTGCAGATTACTCATTCCTAACACAAGGTTAACATCCATGTATGAAATTGAAATCATAGTCTCTACCCCTTAATTAGTGATTAACTTAATCTCAGCCTCTTCCTTTTTTGGAGGTGTTATAAAACTAATTTTTGAGGAGCTAAATAGTGTGTGGAAGTTATTATTGGAGAGGTGGGAGGAATTCATGCTCTAAAAGAAGGTCTAAATTGGGTAGATTTAATCCATAGCTGTGTTAATTTGGAATCACAGAAATATGGGGGGTAAGATACAGGGGTCATTTTATCTTAGTTGATTTACCGGTTCCAAGGCAGGATTAGCTGTACCTGTATTTTGTTTGACAAGTGTTCATTCAAATCCTCTTTTAAATTCTCTGAAGTAGTGAAGAATCCAGAGTCCTCCCGCACAACCCACTGCGGCATATCACTTTCTTGTTCTTAACTCTTAACACACAGGAGAGACCTACCTGATGTTAACATTTTTCTTTCTGCAGGATCATTCCATGGTCTAGTTTTGCAAAGTGGTTTGAGATGTTCCCTTGGAAAGTCCTTTATAAGTGTAAAATATTAACAACAAATCTGTGGCATGCTTGCATCATTAATTCATCATGACTTGCTTCTGTTAAGGGCTTTTATGAAGAAAGTATGTTATACCCTTTACTGGCAATAATTCTAGAAAAATAATCTGATTGATAAAGAAAAAGCGTTCCTAGCATCAAAATGACCTCCTTCTGCAATGTGAAAGCAAAGTTAAAGGAAGATTTATTGGTTGTTGTACAGGTCTGACTTGGAATTACAGTTCAAGTGCTATCACCATGAAGACAGGCAAATGAACACAAACTGGCCAGCTTCAGTCCAGGTCAGCGTTAATGCAACCCCACTTACCATCGAACGTGGCGACAACAAGACATCTCATAAACCTCTGCACCTAAAGCACGTCTGCCAGCCAGGAAGAAACACGATTCAAATTACAGTCACAGCATGTTGTTGTGTAAGTACACTGAGCTCACGGGTGCAGCTGCTGATGCTGAGTTTGCTATTTAGTACAGTTTGCAAATGTTGCCTTAGCTGAAAGAGCCTTAGTCTCATTTTTTTCCATGCATTTTTCTGGTAAGGTGCTTGTTTGATGATGTTGAGACAGGGTGCTAATACGGAAATTTTTGCTGCTGAATTATTGCAGAATGTAGTGGTGTTGTTCCAATGTCTCTGAAAAGGCTTGTGGTCTAGCAGAGGAAGGGAGTTTGATTTCCTACCTATTTAGCATGTGCCTGTGTAACAAGGCAGCTAAAGTGTATTAATGTAGAAGTAGATTATTGTGATGCAGACTGTTGTCCGGTACTAATTTCATTTACTTAGGGTATTAAACTGTGTTTGGTTTGACATGAGAACATCAACACCATAATCATTGGTGGTGGGGATGATTTTTCAAATAGCTTTTCAGATGAAAAACTCATATTCCGTGATGGCAGTCTAGACCATGCAACTTTCCCCTTTCTCCTTTTTCATGGTTTAGTTACTCTTGGGGACAAGTACTGTATTTTTGATGCAAACTGTTGCAAACATACAGTCTGAGCTTTTGACTGTTCTGTTGTCACTGACAAGAAAGCAAGCTGCTACCTCTCCCAAGGTCGCAGTGTGAGGCACTTTGACAAGAAGCCATCCACCCATTTTGCTTCACTTTCACACTGATGTTTCTCTGCATAATGTCATTTATCTGGTGGCTAAGAGCAAGGGCAGCATCGGGTGAATCCACAACGAGCTCTGTGTTGGGGAAGAAGATTCGGTTGGTTCCAGACACATCAGTAGCAACTCGTTTTTGCAACTTCCAACATAGTCTGAGGGCAGGCAGATAGGCTAGGCTGTGTCAAAGAATCCAGGGTTTTAAAAATAAACCCTGGTGTCAGAGATGAATACATCAGCCGTATGTATTCTGAGTATTAAGGAGGGAGAAAATGCAGAAAATATTTGCTTTTTTTAAAGCCCTTGTATACGTTATGCTCCTGGAGCATGGAACAACATACTGCGCAGCGTGCAGAATATCCCTAAGGGAGCGCATGTGCGCAGCAGAGCAGAACCAGCTTTCCTATTTAAGCATCAGGCTCTTACAGAAGCCATGTGTCCGAGGGAAGAATGCAGCTCTGTTCAGCAGTGTATTTACCATGTGTGTTTTGTTCTCGTGGTAACAAAATGCGTTCTCTTTCAGTCACACTTGTTCGTGTTGCAGTTAGTACACCGGCCATCAGTTCGCTCCGTACTTCAAGGTCTATTAAAGAAACGCCTCCTCCCAGCAGAACATTGTATCACTAAGAGTGAGTTTTCATTTTGTGTGGATGATGACTTTCCAGAATGCCTATGTTCAGTTGTGATAACTTACCTAAAAGCCCCGTGTAGAATTATTCTTTATTTATTTAGGGCTGCTTTAAATGCTTGTATGGCACTATATTTAGTTGAGGGTATAGCTGATATGCATGTGTGTGATGGTTTGTCTGTTCAGGAGAATATTCTAAATTACACAGAATACACCTACGTGGATAAATTGTCCATTAAATTGGCCCTTAAAGGTTGAAGTGTTGGTCTTTCAGATTTCTACGTTAGAATTTACAGTACACTTGTGTTTTCTCACACATGCATATACTTTCTTCCTAAACAGTAAAGAGGAACTTCAGTAGCGTAGCAGCTTCCTCTGGCAACGCAACACTAAATGGGGAAGATGGAGTAGAGCAAACCGCTATTAAAGTGTCTCTGAAGTGTCCGATCACATTCCGGCGGATTCAACTCCCAGCGAGGGGTCACGATTGCAAGCATGTACAAGTGAGTAGATGCCAGTGGCCTGGTAGTATTCCCTCAGCCATGTGTTGTTAACAGTACCTTTAGCTTGGTTATCGTATGAGAGCGCCTAATGAAATGGAATTTCTTTGTGTCTATCAACCTAAATAATTAACTATATATATATAAAATATATGTTTAATATAGGGGGAGAAAGTAAGCTATTTGGTTTAGTTTTCAGTGCTAGCAGGCTTTTTTCATGGCAGTTTTACTTTTGTCCAACTGATTCAGTTAATACAGTATTTTCTCTTGATTTCCTCTTTTTTTTTTTGTTTTCTTTTGTTTTTTTTCCTTCTTTGTTTCTTTCTGATACCTAGTGCTTTGATCTGGAATCTTACTTGCAACTGAACTGTGAAAGAGGAACTTGGAGGTGTCCGGTATGCAAGTAAGTGCAACCATGCTGCATGAAATGCAGTTGTACACGATTTGACCAAATTCAGATCATATATAAGGTCATGGAGGGGAGAAAAAGGAAGTGCTAGGAAATAAGGTGTATGTATTACATTCACCTGATAGCATGAAGTCCAGTGAGAATTCTTGCGATATTTCATAAATTGAGGGAACACCCTGGACTATTAGAAATCTAAAAACAGGTAACAGATATTTTCTCACAAAATATATCATCTGCAAGCTCTCATTACAGGCTATCAAAAGGTTGTGTAGAGTTCAAAGGAAGCTCAAATATTTACATTGGTAAGACAGATATCTACATACATGAATAAACTGGGAGTTTGTCTTCCCCTAGATTATGAAGTATAAGCAACTACCTGACAACAATATGCCACGGCAAAAGAACAGATAGTCTATTCTAGAGTTATTTTTGTATAATTTTAATGTTGTAATGCCCAAATTATGTAGATACTAAAGTGTTCAGCACCCAGCTGAACATTAAATAAGGATGCCAAATAACTGTCTCAGGTACTATACTTTGAGTCACATAGGTATGCAGTTAATGACAGTGTTCAAGGAAAGGGGGAATTTTGGAGACTGCAACATTTCCCAGTAATTAGGTAGGAAATGAAGTTGGATCCTCCAAGGTCAAAGTTAACATCAAGTGCAAATTAAAGTGAGAGCAGAAAGCAGGAAGGATTCTAGTCGAGAATAAGGCTGATTTTAAAAAAGGTAAAACATTCCCGAGGAGCGGAGGTTTGGAGTGATTGCTTAAAGGAAAAAAGGGGTACCTTGGCATACTTTCAACCTTATGTTTTGACCAGAGAGCTAGTATACTGCAGAAGAAACGGAAAGCTTTGAAGTGGTTACAGACTGCCCATTCTTACATTTAACTGGGCAGAAAGAATCTCAGAACGTCTGCAGGCCAGTTCAGTGTTTGTAACCTACTGTGCTCAGTCCACAGGGTTACGAGTTTGTTCCAGCCTCAGCTGAGGAGGCAGGGCTCTTTAGCTTAAGCAGCTGTAGCAGCTTGTACTTCATCTCTGCAAGTCTCCAGTTCAATCCCTGCTGCGCCAGCCAACGTTAGGAATAAAGAGGAGTGGAGGTTGTCCATTCTGTCTGCTTCTGTGGACATTGCAGGCTTGAGAAGAGCTTGTTTCAATGATTATCCATGATTGATACATATCCTAAAGTGCAGGTGCTTTCTCTGAACTATCTGAATCTTTTCTATCTTCTAAATTAGGCTAAAAATATCACAAGAATTGGATGTCTTGCTTCTTAATTTATGTATTCGTACATCCAGGCCAAAATTTTTGTCCCATTTCTCCAAGTATGAGCACCTTCATTCAGATCTAAGTGCCTACATAACTAAATCATTTCCATTTTTGTTTTGTTCTGTCCCCATCTGTGCTGATCCTAAGTAAAATAGCTGTAATACTTTCAAACCATATTATTCAATATGTAGCTCAAAAAAAGAAAGATCCAATTTGAAAAAAAATAGTGCTAGCTGATGTTCACAGGAGAGATCTGCTATGTTTGAAAAGCCTTTAAATTCGCAATATATTTCACTAAAAAAAATTACAAAGGATGTGAACAGCTTGTGGACACACACAAGTAGATGTATCCTTATCTCGTCTATTTGATGTAGAATAGTATTATCCTGGTAATGCAGATGTAGAACTAAAACTGTTTGCCCCAAATCATTCCTAAATTACGTGTTACAGATAGTAAGTTGGTGGATCCCAGTCTGCTGATTTCATCACTAACCTATCCTTCTTCCATCCCTCTTTTACACATGTGTAGCAATATTCTAACATGAGGTTTGGGGTTTTTTTTCCTTTCTAGTAAAACTGCTCTGCTGGAGGGCTTGGAGGTTGACCAGTATATGTGGGGTATTCTGAACGCTATACAAAAGTAAGTGAACTTACTCATTTCTGATATCCAAGACTAAGCAACTAGGAGATATAATGAGTTAATGAGTACTGAGATAGTCATGCCAAAGTAGGTCTTAGTGATTGAACTTGAATCTTCTGTTTCATGGCTCCTTGGTGGAGCTAGTGATACAGTGAATCAGTTTCTGTGTATTTAATAGATGTTGTTTGGGTTGTCTCTTGATGGCAGCCTCACCAATGAAGCAAAGGGAAGAGTGAGAATGCTTTCTTGTATTTACAAGTAGTCCCTCTGATTCGTATGTGGCAGACCACATAGATATGTTTGGATTTCATTGTGTGGATAAACACAGAAATGTGCTCTCACAGTTGCCTTTTTTAAAACTTGCTTTCAGCACACACTTAAGGAGTGAAAGATCTTGAGGTTGTATTATACTAGAGCATTTCAGAACATGTGTTACCATGCAGATTCTTACGGAAACTTCAGCAGAATTGATTAAAAAAAAAAGAAAAATTAATATGCTAAAATTTTGACTTTATTTTACAGCTCAGAGTTTGAAGAAGTTACCATTGATCCAACTTGCAGTTGGAGGCCGGTCCCTATAAAGTCAGATATTCACATCAAAGATGACCCAGATGGCATTCCCTCAAAAAGATTTAAGACCATGAGTCCAAGCCAGATGATCATGCCAAATGTGATGGAGATGATTGCAGCTTTGGGTCCTGGCCCGTCACCTTACCCATCCCTACCCCCTCCTCCAGGAGGCAACAACTCCACCGAATATGGTAGCCAAGGTTAGTTTTACAGCTTTGTGCACCCAGGTGGTCACTCTAGAAGTCAGTGGTTCAGTCAGCTTTGTGATTCAGGTATGTCAGTGCATCTTCTCAGAGAGATGCGTAAGGAAAGCAAATTATATGGCCGCAATTCTGAAATTCTGCAGTCTTTTAATTTAAGATTCACCTGTTTAGAGGAAAATATATTTTAGTAAGGAAATTGGTGCTTGTCACGTTTATTGCCATGCAGCCCTCCCTGAATCAACAAACATTGTATGTTACCTTACATATTCATGGCCTGCCACAATATACGTCTTCCCTCATTTTTTCTGTCCATTTTCCTTGTGTTCCCTTCTCATTCAAGTGAAGGCTCCTAGTGCTACGGAAGTTACAAAGTAGAGAACCTGACCCATTAACCCTGTTACTTGGGCCACTAAGTTTAACTTGTGGCCAGGTGGGTGACATTTGGTAAGCCACCCAGAAAGTGGATGACTTTTAAAGAGATTTTAGCTGCTTTGCAAACACCTTTGCATTAGAAAATTACTTTTGAGTTCCTGTGCCCATGTGCTGCCAGATTGAGAAACAGGGAACTAAATACAGGCAGTGGAGATACGTTTTTGAATGACTGGTATATTGTGAATAACTCAATTATAGTGACAATTCTGAAATATGAAACCAGAGACTGTTTCTTTTGCAAGTAGTATGATATGACTCAGTTCAGCTTTGGGAAAAGACCAACTGTTCACACATCAGAATCCCCAAATTGATTACAAGGTGATATATGTGCTTTTTGCAGGCATTTGAAGAAAAATATAGATTGCATGCAAAATGTGGTTAATTTGCTCCAATGACTGCAAAACTGATGACAGATGATAAAACTTTTTAGGTTTTCAAACAGATGAATGATTACTATAACAAAGCCAAGAGCACTGAATCACAAATTTTTCACTCGTTTAGTAGGAGTGAAGTGCAGTCAGAGCATGAGAACAGAGCCATCTAGTCTTCATCATTTTTCTAGCTCATAATTGGGAACGGACAGTGTAGTCACATAAAAGTGGGGTTTAGGGTTTGGGTAACGATTGCTGCCTAGACTGTTATTTCTCTGCCTTCCCCTGTGGATCCTGTAGCAGAGGTAGTCATTGCTTCTCGGAGCCCTGATTCATCAATGGCAGGTGAAACCCACTCTCTCCTATTTCCTCTGGATAGGCATATTAATGCAGAGCACTAGATAATCCTAAATGTCTTTATAGGTCTGTCCCTGAGCATGTGACTCAACTCTTGCCCCAGAGAAGGGCATTCTGCTGCACGGCTGTAACTCCCTGCGCATACTGCCTTGCACCTGCATTCTCCAGCAATACATGCGCTGAAACATAGTGTTAAGAATTAGGTAATGTCCTCTGATTAACAGTACTGTAGAGCAAAATAGTGGTAGTGGTATTACTACTGTGGTTTATGTTTGTTTATTTGGGTTTGACAGTAAGTATACTGAAGTTTAATTAATATAACAAGTACTCAGTAATACAAGACCTTATTCCAGCTCTCTACTATATTAAACCTTTCCTGAGAAGCAAGGCAAGACTCATCCAGTCTGCAGATTAACAAAATGAGAATTAGTAAGGCTCTGCAGTATTTACATGATAGATCAAAGTCCTGACTTCCTTGAGAAATACTCTGACGTGGCTAATGACTTCTATTCCTCTGAGATTAAACTTCTGCTTGTGAAGCTGTGCTAAAGAGCAAATGATGCAGCTACTTCAGTTTGTCAGACTCCCTTCTTGACTTGAACATTTAAAGCTGCTGTACTTCAGCTGACGAACTGCAGGCTCTCCGTGCAAGCTTCAAAGCTATTCTATTATTTCAGAGCTCAGTATCATCCAATTCAGTTGCTTATACGAAATAGCTGAGTGGCTTTAGTTCAGTTTTGCTGTTCATAGCAAGTGAGCCACCAGCGTTGGTATCTCAGTTGGAAGCATTAACAGGGGGATCTGGACAGAAAAAATACGGAGATAAAATCCCTGTATTGGGATACATGCTTGCTTTAGAATTCAAGTGAAGATCACTGGGCTGGGGTGGGACGGATCAAAACATACTGACGATGGTCATACAGTACTTGTCCTGCAGATCAGCAGGGGACTCCAGGCTTGTTGCTAGATGGTAGATGTGTGGGGGTAAATCCAGATCATTTATTCGGAATTGGTGTGAAATTCTGGTGCTTTGGAAAACATCGTTTCAGGCTGAAGTTAGATGGATTTCATACATCCACTAGTTTTTCTTTACGAGCATGCATATCCACATGCTGAAACACAAGCTACAGGCAGCTAGTTTGTAACTCTGAAAATGAGAAGAGGGGAAAATTGATGTTGTATTTGCAGACAGTCAAGTAAATTTTATTAGGTGTTGTGGGAGCAAGGAGAATTACATCACAAACCCCCATTAGACATGAAGGCCTCTTCTGCGTTATCTTAATGGAAGTTGCCTGTTTATACTGCAAAAGAAGAGGTAAAATAGATGCTGTGCTATGAACTGGTACCGTGGCATCTTCCTGGTACAGTTCTGTCAGTTAGCTTACTGAGTGCATAGAAGCGTAGACGTAAGTAACACAGGTGTCCTATAAATAATTTTAGATTTGGGCAGTCAGTCTCAGCTGCACTGAGATGCTTCCAGATGGAAATATTCCATAGAATTTAATATCCCTTTCACTTCTCGACTTGGTTAAGGTTATGTGGTACCTGACAGTAGTTTTTCAAAATGTCAGCAGTTTTCAATTAGATACAGCATGTACATGAATTAGTACAGCAGCCAGTATTTGAAAGCTGAGTGCCCTTTTTTCCTCCCTGTTCCTGCCGTTCGCTCCAGCAGTGGGGAGCACTGTGTTGTCACGTTCAGCATGGCACTTGCCCTGTGCTGTGCAGGGAGTATGCCATGCTGCACAGCTTTTACAAGACACTCTGAGAGATCAATGTTGGGAAACAAATAGTTTCTTTCATATCACATCTGTTTCTCTTTTAGGCAACAGTTACCAAGGTCATGGCAATTTTGACTTCCCGCACGGGAATCCCGGTGGTACGTCTATGAATGACTTCATGCATGGGCCACAGCTGTCACATCCCCCAGACATGCCAAGCAGCATGGCAGCTCTCGACAAACCTCTCAGTCACCCCATGCAGGAATCTGTAAGTAATGGTGCTGTGGACCTAGATTTTCCTTCGTTGGGGGTAAGGAGCTCTCATCCAGCTAACGGACTTACCTTGTGAACTGCTTTTACTTTTTGTGGATTCCTCACTTTGGAAGTTTGTGAAATAGAGTAGTCTTGAGAAATGCCAAAAATGCCATTTTTAGTTTCTGGTCTTTTTGAGTTTTTGGAGAAGCATTTCTGAGCTTTTTGAATTGTCACTTAAGCTTGTTTATCTGAAAGACACAACCTGGCTTGGTGTGCTTGTATTAATCGTTGTGCTTTGCGCTGACACCTGAAAAAAACTAGACTTCATTTGCTAGGCCAGCAGGGTCTGTGAATATCCATCTTCAGCAGACAGCTTGTTATATAGCAAGACATTGACTGACTTCACAGCAGGGACAATATCTTCCCTGGCTTTGTCCCTGAGGGCAAAATTTGCATCAAAGCATTTTGAGGGGGAATCTACCCAAGTAGCATGAAAGGCACCTTTAAGCTGTTGGGAATAGGACAAGCCTGTACATTTCAAGGAGAGATGCTGCCACTGGTCTGAGAGTGTATCAATGTAAGAGACTAAAAAATGGAGGTTCCTCGGGTCTCAGATGGAGAGGCAGAACTGTGCGTTGGAAAAGCAGCTTGCTCAGAGCACTGAGTTTTATATACAGAACTTTATATATCTCCAGAAAATGCAGTACTGCAGTAGCTAGGTGATAGAAAAGCTACCAGCAGCATTTAGCTCTTAGGCATGGCTAGTCATCTATTTTAACTCTGTGGGGGGTGTGTGTGTATACATCCTTTTATGTTCATTTAAGTTACAGGGCAGGGGCTTTATAGTGTGCTGTTACTGCACAGGAAGGATGTTTAACTTGACAAGTCATCTGTGCCATGTCTTTAGTGAATACTAGAAAGTACAATTTCAGAATGTAATGAGGAAATGTGGTAGCAGATGCTCAGCAAAAGCCTACTCAGTCAGTGTCTCCTGTAGCTGGCAGTGGGTTTTCCAAGGAGGATGGTGAGAAATAGAGAGAGTTCTCAGTATAGCTTGGAGAGAGCCCAAGTAACAAGACTGTCTGCAAAGGAAGAGACCAGAAGCTCTACTTTACCGCTTTACGGGCTAATAAAGGACAGAACAAACATGCTGTAAACTTAATTTTACATTGGCAAATTCCACATACCCAGCTCAAAGAGCAGTCTGAATTATCTGCATCAGAACCAACCATACAGTATTAGAATATAGTAGTGAGGGGAAATACAACCAACCTGAACCACTCACAGCTGCTTTCCTTTGAATCAAAGCCACAGGGAATTATTCTTTGCCTCCCATTACCTGACACCTGCCTCTTGACTTCGTCAGTTAACTGCTATACCTTTGCTACAGTAGTTGCCCCAAGGAAATTTCTGAAATGGTAGGATATGAAGTGGTTGAATATGAAAGTGAAGAATCTGTGGCTTTCTGAAAATGGGACTGCTTACAGATGATAGCAAAGGTGAAAGTTGCTCAAGGCTATGCATGTTCCAGAGCTGTAAGAGGGTATTTGGGCAAATGTTAATAGATTTTTGCTTCTGTGGGCCAGTCTGTAGCAAATCTGATACTTGCTTATGATAGCTGGCAATTAAAGTAAACCTTTGCCTCACTTCTCCTTCATCTATAATGATACGCAAGCTATACTGTTTGGGAACGGGAAGAGGCACTAAAACAGATACCACCTAGTTTGTGTCAATGGCTGATTTTCTCTAATAAGGATCAGTTTTCAGGTCTATTAGCACAAGGGAATTAGATTGACCTTGTCAATGTAGCCACATAGTCTTCAGGCTACATTTGAGGACTGTTAGTGCTCCCACATAGCTTTTTCAGTATTATAAAGTCTCTGCTTTCGTCTTTCCCTCTTTTTCTTGTTCTTCCTTTCTTCTTCTTCAAAAATGAACTGTTTGTTTGTAGCAGACACTCAGGAAAGGCAGCTTTAAAATTACTGCTTTTAGAGAAATGCATGCCATTAACACATTCCTAAATTGTGTAGCTGAATGTCTTTGGACAAACATCTCTGTACAAAAATAACTATAAATCAGACTGTGTAATTGAACTAAGGTTTTAAGATGTTGCCTGTGCTCTTGTCTGGCTTTCTGTCTTTCCTTTTTATACATTTAAGGTGTATTTTCTTTTCATCTACTATTCACTTTGACCGTTTATTGTTTACAAAGTGAGTCAGGATCAGATGTTTGGTCCTTTTAGACCCAAGGTCTGTCTCTAACAGGAGCTGAATGCTCGTGAGGAAGTTCCTAATTTTCCTGTTAGGAAGATTTATGTGGTGGCCCTTATGTAATGGTAGGCAGAGAAAGTTGATTCCTCCAATGTTTGCCCAACGAAGATAGGGCTGGGTAACCAGGGCTGGATCATCAGAGCTACCTTCTCTCAATACCGCTGTTCTGCTCCTGTGGAAGAAGAAAAAAATCAAGACCTGAAACGTGGCTAGAAGGAATACCTCCTTCCCAGTGTAAAGTGTTGTGAGAACTGTAGAACAGATGCTTCTATGTCAGTGCAAGATGGCTACAAAATAGCTGCCACAATCGCATCATGTTTGTTTTCAGAAATGGTAAACAAGTTTTAGACAAAGGTGAATTCAGAGTTAGCTCTAGCTTAGTGCTTATTGCAGATAGTGTTAAGGAGTGGTACATGACTGAGCGATGGATGATCACACTATGGTTTCATATACACAGTGAGGTGATACGAGCTGGTGCCACTGTAAAAAGTCATCGCTCTTGTTTCTATTTTCACTTTTCCTCTCTCTCACACCAGCACAAGTGTTACTGCAGCCATGAAGTGATCTGGGTAGTGATTGAAAACTAATTCAGGGAAGGGGGGAGTTTAGCTTTTATCCATGTCAATTCCCCAGTTGAGTTCACTGCATTTCTGCAAGGATGCGCCCAATGACAAAGGCATGGATGGGAAAAGTGGCCGAGAACAGCAGCAGGGCAGGATGGCATCTTTCAGTGGTTCCGCCAGCTAACCCAGCAAAAGACTTGGTAAAACTATGACCCCAGTAATGGAGAGAGATATAAACCATCGACTTAACCTGCTGATCTTTTTTTTCACTATCAATTTTCTCCTGAGATTAAAGGAATATTGTTCTGCAGCCGGGAGGTCCCATTGCTCTACCGCTGTACATCTTGGCACTCGTAGAGGTCACTGTTGGGGTCGTAAAGAGTTGTGTTGTTTTGTGTTATTAAGCTGAAGATGTAGTGGTGTCTGCTATAAGCTTTTCTTTTATAGATTGTAAATGTTTTAAGAGTGCTACAGTTACACTCCTAAAAACAACTCTGGAATTACCTTGCTATGTAAACAAAGGCAACTTTGTTAGACTCTGCATTCATAGTGTGGATTAGTTTTTTTAAAATAAAATGATGGGAGTTGCAGATGCAAGCTGAACATATACGAAGCGTATTGCTTAGAATGTTTATGCACCATGGCAAACTTATCGTTAGTTAGCTGAATGCAAACAGAAAAATGTTGAAGTCCTGAGCATTTTGCTTTCTCACAGGTAGGCTGGTGGAGTCTGTGGCCTAAGTCTGAAGGATTTTGAACCTGCGATGGCTGTTTAAGATTCTGGTAGCCCTCAGTCTTAAAATGAACAATTACACCCTATCCAACAGTTATCTCAGGGCCCAAGAATACTGCCTTATCAACTAAATATTTTTAGATTATATATATATATATATAAAATACTTGCCTATATAAACATAATGTAGAATTTCTAACCTGCTTATTTGTTTTGAAATACCTCTAAGAACATATGAAGGCCTCTTGGTTTAAATAATTATTGGTATAAACATGCCAGTATGACTCTTGCTTTGTGCGTTCAGGGATAAATTTAAAAGACTATTCAAGATCCTGGTTTGGTTTGGTTTTTTTTCTGGAAACTGCTTTCCCACCTTAGCAACACTGTCTTAAATTGCTTTTTACTTTTTGCTATTATTAAGCTTTCTTAATTTCCACACTTTCTGTTGCACATGTCCTCAATGAATGAAGAAGGAAAGAGTACTATTTGGGTAGACATCTGCTTTCACTTGGACTTTTGCAAAGTTTTTAGGCTGCAGATTGATTTACATTAAGATGTGGTCTGTGCACAGATTTTGAACAAGTTTACCCCTAAGGTAATAACAATAATGTTGCAGAATACTTCTCAATTAGTCAAACTGTGACCCTAATAGAGAGAAGAGTGTGTATCAGGACTTTTTAACAGTTACTTTAAACTCTCATACGGGAAAGAGGCCCAAATGAGGTGTTGCAGTTAGGATCCTGCTCGTTTCCACCAACTTTCATATTACCACAGTATTGAAAAGGACCTCCATGTAGCTGAGTATGACTGTCCCAATGGATCAGTATTCAGGTTTCAGTTTTCATAAGAGTGGTGAAATGTATTTTTTTTAAATGCTTGTTTCTGTAATTTTTTTAAATTTTGTGGGAATATTTTAATTAAGTTTCGTAATAACCTCCCTTTTGCTTTCCAAAACTGAAGACTAAGGTTAAAATAACCTTGCAGTTTACTGTGATATGAAAGGGTCAATGCTGACATAGCATTTTGCTGGTTTCTGTTGGCTTGGCTGGATGAATTTCATGCTGTTGTTGTATGTATCTGTTCTTTTATTTCAGCTCCACTTTGTGGCAATATGTAGCATTCCTCAAAAAATGTTTACATTTTTTGCTTCTCCATATACCCAATTAACGTGAGACATCTGATTCTGAAGCATTCAGACACTTCTTTCTCATGGCACCAAGGTCAAGCCCCAAAGAATCCACTAGCATTAAATGTGACATGCAGCAGAAGGAAGAATTGGGCTTGTGCATTTTTGTTGCTTCTCTGTCATGTGAGGAAGCCTTTTCCCCCTTTCTTCCAAATAGGGTTTGGAAGATGCATGTGGTTTGGTAGTTTATTCCCCATGGAAAACATAAAAAATACTAAGCTTTTGCTAGAGAACTTATCCACGGCATGAATACAAAATAGAAGTGTGATCATGAGCTTAGTTTAAGCTAATGCATTGTAGTTTGCAGTCAGCAGGTATGCAGCCACCTACAGCAGCTCTGCTGATGGGTGGGGAGCTCGCTAGCTGAGCCGACTTGGGTTTTTGTCAACCATCAGAACCTGTGAATATCAGCGAGGAAAATCTTCAGCCCTTAAAAGGGGTGTTGCATTCTGAAAAGAAAAGGAGGGGAGGAGTGGGAAAAGGCTGGTGTTTGTAAGATGTCTGTAATGAGCTGAAACCCTAATAGGCAGTGGTGTCAGGAAGCTACCCAATAAGGGAGCTGAGCAGAAATGCGTTTTCTCGGTTAATCAGTTTCCTGGCTTAGGCATCGTTATTCAACAAATTCTCCATTCATTCCTGGAATTGTTTAGGGCAAAAGCATCTGCCTCGCTAATGCTGAGCAGCACCCATAAGCCTCCTTCCCTCCTTTTTGGGGTTCGTTATTTTGCATCTTCCAGCGCAGTTTCCCACATGACAAGGAAGCAAACCAACAGCACAAATCCAATGTGTTTATCTCCCCCTTACAGATAACCTTCAAAGAGCTGAAACACTTCCTCCAGCATTGGGATATGGAGTTTTCTTTTCCGATTGCGCTTTTTTGTTTCTTTTTTTGGGTCTTTTTGGTTTCTTTGTTGTGTGTGTCTTTTTTTAATTTATTTAAGTTATTTCTTTTTGTAACATGTGGTTACAGAGTCAGGCACTGCGAGCACTGTACCTTGTGGCCTCACTTTCTTTTCCTGCTTTTTTCCTCCTCCGCAGATCCCTCATCCCGGCAGCACTGATCAGTCCCATACTTCCATGCAGCAAGGTTTGCACGTCCCTCACCCCAGCAGCCAGTCAGGGCAGCCATTACATCACAGCGGGCCTCCTACCCAGCAGTCCCGGCAGCCGCCCCCGGCCGCTTCTAGCAACCATCCACACAGTGACCTGACCTTTAATCCCTCCTCAGCCTTAGAGGGTCAGGCTGGTGGACAGGGAGCACCTGACATGCCGGAGCCCTCGCTGGATGTAAGTCTGTGTCATACTATCATCTGCCTGCCATAGCGTGTGCTTCGCATCGCGGCGGGAGGGCAGGGAGGGTGCGGGGACGGGGAGCCGCTTCCACAGCACATGCCATCCTTTCATGCTTTGGTACATGGGTGCAGGTGCTGCAGCCGAGGTGACAGGGCGCTCCTGGCTTGCTGGGAGAATGGTTTGAGCGGCTGTATGGCATGCAAGCCATAGCCTCTTCCTAGCACCACGGCAGGCATTTCTTCAGATGGCAGTTCAGGTACCAGGCTGGGAGCCATCTCTTACCTTCCCCCTCATCGCTGGACAGGGGCTCCCGTGTGCTCATCTAGACCCTGAAGCCATCACAGTGCCTGAATAAGAGGAAGGACGCAGCTGTGTGTGGTTCTGACTGTGGCGGAGCTCTGCCAAGCAAGCTGCACGCTGAGCCCTGCAGCATGCCTGGCCAGTGGGAGGGGGATCTGTGCTGGCCCACCCCGTGGCACTGTCCCTGCTCCCTGCGGCCAAAAGCATGTGCCCATCCATACCTGCTCGTGCGGGTAGCTCAGCAGCACAAGTTCTTCCTCCCGGTGTGCCACATAAGAAAATAAACAACCAGGACGTCTTCTGCCTCTTTAGCCGCTATGGGAGACAGCTCACAACTAAACAAAGATAAACCTAGTTTTAAGGCCAAAAGTAATCTTCCATCTCTTACCATCCATTCAGTGGAGTCGGAAGTGAATTATCTGAGGTATCTCTCTGGTTAACCACCTACCTCCCAAAATACAAATTCCTTAGCACTAGGATTGGATTTTTGTTTGAGTCGTGCGTTCCCGTATGTATATCTTCTGTCTGTTCTAAAGTCTGCTGCTGCACAGTGTAATTTTCTCAGAGAAATGTTCACCTCTGTGCCTCAGATTTATATCTGTATTTACTGTTGCTGTATACTTATGTCTTCCCTGTCACACACAAGCGCTGTCCCGGCAGGTAGCCTCGCAGAGGGGAGGGAAGGGGTTAAGGGAGGGATGGATGCTCCAGTTACAGGAACAGTGCTCAGTGAAGTAACTTCTATCTGAACCAGAGTGCTGCTGTTTCACACAACACAGTCACGTGCACATCCTTTGGGAACGATAGTTCGTGTGGCAGTTAGAGTTCTGAACCTTTAAGGACCCCATATAAGCAATATTAATAGGTGAAATAAAAATGTCATTTTTTTCTTCAAATATTTAAGCAACATAAAGTATGCTGTTACGGGTCAGGCACTCATTCCTCGGTGAAAAGCAAAGTAGAAAAACCTGTACATTTATCACAGTACCGTGGTTATCACTGATGGAGGCATGCTGGATTCTTAATGGGAGGCTGAAATTATCTTAGCTAAATGAGGAGGCAAGTGCTGTAAAGTGTGGGGAATATAGTTCTTTGAAGTATCTGTGAGCTCAATCATGATCAGATGGATTATTTTAATGGGTTTAACTTTCAGTGGCTGTCTTATGGAACCAGGCTGAATAAAGTCCCATGCAGCAAACCAAACAGGGGACTGTACCGTGGGCAACTTGGTCTGCTCCCTACTGACACGGTCACATTAGTTCTTTAGGACTTCAGTGTGATGCAGTCTTAGGTTTAACCTGGGTTAAAGGATATACCGTGTATAGATACAGATACAGCTGATCTGCACTTACACCTAACACAGCAAAGGCACAAGACTCAAATGACTGGTTAGACCTCTCAGGTAGTCACTTCAGGAGCACTGGGTGCACCTCTCCAAATTCTGCCTCTAAGTCTAGCGTATTCCTGTAGCTTTTGCCCCCATCTCCCTGCGCAGCCCCCGGCGCTCCTCTGTCTCTCAACACCCAGCAAGCCCTTTCTGAGGTCTCTGGTTTTCACACCAACTGGGCAGGAGGCAGGCTGTGCTGCCTGGCCCCTCTGACCGAGGCAAGCCGAGGTCACCCTCAAAACTTAGAAGACTTCATCTTCAGAGATACTGAGCATATTGTTTAAAACTTTCACCTTTCTAAAAAAAGTTTTTAAATTATCCCTTGTATACAAGAATGAGTCTCAGAGATGTTATGTTAAATTTTTCAGAATTGAGTTGTAAAATCGTAGTTGTAAAATTCGACCATTTTTTACTTTCTACACGTTTGGTGGGGCCACGGTTTTCTTTTGGGCATCTAAGTATTAAGTATTCATTAAAAAATTATGATAGCAGGTGAAATACATTTAAAAGCCTCATATCTTTAGCCTAGTACTATGACAATAGCATTTTTACCATGAATAAAAGGAGGCGGTATTTTAAGAAAAGCATTCCTTCCAGGTGATTCTGTTTATGTAAACTTGACATTGCGTTTTTTCCAAAATGCTTAGGAAGTAATAAACTTCCTTCTGCATTTCATGTTTAGCTTATTGAAAAATATGTTCATCCATATAACATTAGAAGATGAAGCTGCATTTGCACAGGAGTAATAGAAGCATAAAAATATAATATTTGCATGCTAAATGTGATGCAGTCAAGCTTTTAATTTTATAATATTTGAAAACATAGAACAACTTAAAATGAATTTCTCATACCTACTATTAAGTTTGTTAAAGCAGTCCATATTTTTCTGTCTTTGCTTTAACACAACACTGAATATAAAGGGAGTTTATTACAAACTCTTCCCTGCCATTTTTTATGTATGACGCTTTTACTTTTGACTAGAATATGGCAAGATGCAGAATAAAGCTGAAACATCGCCTGGTACACAACCCGGGAGTTACGATTTGCTTGTTATCTGTCAGATCAAAAAGAATCTGAGTGATGGTTGGAAAAACAAAATTTTCTGTTTGAAACACAGTATTAATAAAAATATAAATAAAACCCCCACAGCTATTCCTTTTGATATTTTAAAACATTATGGAGACTAGTGCATCTTCTGCTGGATGGGGTGTTATGCTCCTGACCGTTTAAAATGTCTGGAATTGCATGTGATGCTGTAGTTGAGTAAGTACTTCCAACCACTGTAAACTCGCTGCCACAGAAAGGAAAAGGACTCACCCACCTGCCTTGCCACTCCTCTCCCTGTACTCTGTCTCAGTTGGGTTTTTCCCTGGTTCTTTTTTTTTTTTTTTTCCCTTTCTTTCTGGGCTAGTTTTAACCCTGGGTGAGTTCCCTTGCTCCAGCTCACTGCCCCGGAGCTTAGCACACATCAGCACACAGAGGCGTTAGGGGGTGGCTGAGGGGTGAGGAAAGGACAGGGCTGCCTCTTTCTGTAGGGGTGCAGCCTTCAGGTGATCGTCACACTGACATGTGCGAGTTAGATAGACCAGTCTTTGTTGATCTACCTTAAAGCTCAAATACGTATTACTCAAACTGCATGTTTCAAGTTTTTATTCAGTGTTTTACATGAAACTAACATACATAACGAGCATTTATTGAGAATTTTTCATCAGCATCACTAGCCAGGAAATATGCTTTGTTTATTGATAAACTTTGTGATGGGCAGGTTGATTGAGAAACCCTAACTGAGATGGTAGTCTAATTCACAGGTGAAAACAGCAATACAGACTTTCACAAACAAGTGGCTACTGCGTCATCTTAGGGTGTTAGATTTGTGTCGCTGCCTTCCGATTTATTTGGATATATACATAGAAAGCCAGTTTCCAGGAATGTGTGGTGTTTAATCCCTTTTTTCCTCAATTGTGTTTCTGTTATCTGTAATTTTCCTTTTATCTTTATATTTTATAGCTGCTTCCAGAACTCACAAATCCAGATGAGCTGCTTTCGTACCTGGATCCTCCTGATTTGCCAAGCAATAGCAATGATGACCTTCTGTCTCTCTTTGAGAACAACTGAAACCATATGTATTCTCCCATCCCTTTCACTTGTTCACACGTGTGTGGCTGCACAGCGAGGAATCTTAACACTCCTTTTCCACAAGAGAAGAAAAAAAACCTCACAACTTGATCCAATGGTGCACTCCCTGCTTTCTTCATCTCAGAACTGCTTTTCTCAGCTTCAGAGACTGCCAAAGTGACGGGAGAAAAAAATACAAAAAATAAATAAATGCAGTAATCTCCGAGTCTGCCGTGCTACACGTGACAGAGAAGCATAGACAGTTGTGCAGCTATTGGAAACCCCATTTGTTGTTCAGCCTCTAGAGAGAGAGTTCTGTGATTAAACATAGTGTGAAGTAACTTGGCAAAAACGAATCTTGGCAAGGGAAGAAAAGGCAACAAAATGGAACTGTCTTTAATTGACCCATCTCAGAGTGTCCTTCCAATGCGTGTTCTTCCATTTTTTTGAAACTCTATCTCCCTCCACCCCACCTCCTCTCTGCCCCCCTCCAACCACAAGTTGGCATTGGAGTGATTGTCCTGGCCACACACAAAAAGAAAAACAAAAACACGTACAAAGCTCAAAAAAGCACAAATCCTACAGTCAAGTGGCAAAGATAGGGAAGACATACAGGCCCATCGGAGGGAGCCAGCAGTTTAGCTAATGCAACATCAGTCACCAAGTCCTTAGAATCTCCAGGCTGCAGCCGTGGGTGTTGGTATTTCTGCAAACGCAGGAATCTTAACCACCTCTTTGCAGAGGATTCCTCTGGCCAAACACACAGATTGGAAACACCCAGGAAAAACAATTAAAAAAAAAAGTTTGCAATGTTTAGGGATTTTTTTTTTGTGGTTTTGGTTTCAAATCAGTACTGTTTGTGGCTGCGTTAACATCCAGCTGTTGAGATTGCTGTAATAGATCTTTTTGCCATGTATGCCGTATGGAATGGAAAAGAGAGGGAGGGGGGATGCAAACCAAACTGTTCCTGATTATTACCTACAGCCTTCGGTGCCCCAAGCATTTGTGTCACTGCACTGCACAATACATACTAAGACAAGCTGAGTTGAAGGCAGCCAGGAAATCATTGCAGGATGGAGGGAGAGTAACATCACTATCTGCATAATTATTTTTAATAATCGGCTTGAGAAGGGGCATTGACCTTGGAGAGATATCTTACAGCTTCACTTTTGTTTTGCTTTCCGTTCCGTTTTTGTGATTGTTACAGACAATTCTGCCTTTTTCTTTTCTCCTCCTTCAGTTTCTTTTTTTAAACTTTGGCTGCCGGGATGAGCTCTTTCTCCTGAAGGACCGGGCATGGGGAGAATAAGTAACTGTCGGTAGATTGCTACTGCCCTCAAGAGACCCTGCTGCCACAATCACTGTCTTGCCCCTGTGATCTGTGCTTCTTGTGTGGTTGCTGCTCCTGCATGAGCTTCCTATTGCTTCTGTGCCCATTTCTGTGCTCTTCGTCTCTCTCTCTCTCTCTCTCTCTCTCTCTTATAAATGATGTACAGTAGCTGTGTAAGAAGTGCATGTGTGCCAACTTTGCCCTTGTGGTGCAACATTTCAGCTTTTGCCCACTGTACAGTTATTGGTTTTGTTTCTTTTTGTTACTAAAGCAAATTTGACCCTACTCCTTTTCCTCATCCCAAATCCAATCAAACACCTTTCATTTGCTCGCCACAATACGTTTTAAACTGAAGTGCCAGGCAAAATTTTGTTTGTTCCTGTCGGTTTGACTAGATAGCTTCCTAGCCCTTGTGTTTAGTTCGCAATGCTGTAAATGGCATGCTCTGTGCTTACGACTCTGGATTTGCTTTCCTCACCAAAGTCATATTTGTAAATTCTTTGCGGTTTTTGTTTTATTTTGCTCTTTTTAACGTTTCCTACTACTGCTGTACATGCGTCATGATATATATATGCTAGTCAGCAGCACCTTGCTGTAGATATTAAAAGAAATGGCGGTTTAGTTCTTTTATTTTCCAGTAGGAGTATTGAATCTGTCAAACATATTATGTAGAGATGGTCCCACACTTATATTTTTCCTGTTTCAAGTTTTTTTAAGAAAGGCGCTGTTCATTATGCAAAATCAATTATTTTAAGAATTGCTATTGTAAATATCTTTGTGAATATTTTAGTATCGTCTTTGATAATATTCAACATTTTCATGATCTGGTTATACTTTTGCTGGTGTTTTTAAATACCTTGTCTGAAGAAAAATATGGTTCCTTTTTTAAAAAAGAAAATTGAGGGTTCTTTAACAGAATAAGGGAGTTGGTTTTTTCTTTTTTTCCCCCCATTTCCTTTTGATAAAATTAGCCCAAATTTCATATCCATTTATGTGATGAATGAATTGATACATCAGGCAGTACCTGGACAATCAGGGCCCAGCTCTGTTGTGGAAACATCATAATAAGTGATTGCCTAGGGCAAAAAAAAAAACCCAACTAACTGACCGATGTTCATTGACTGTGGGTGATTGTGGGCTGGTAATGGCAGAGATTTTGTTCGTTTGCCCAAGTGAGCAGAACACCTAGGGCCAGCTGTCTGAACAGGTAAAGGTGCACTAAGGCAAGCAGCAAGTATGTAAGGTACCGTATTTATATCACTATACTGGTGCTCCGGTCTCTGAAACTGGGGCACTGTAACACTTAGGGATGTTGGTTGGTGGGTGGGGGAGGGAAACAGTATAGTATATTTTATTCTGCTTAGAAGTGTCTTTTTTCTTATGTAGGCTTGACAACCTGTAGAGGATCTCTGCAGAATATTAAAGATACCTTGGTGTATTACATGCTAGTATGGTTGTGGTGTGGTGCTGCTATCACACAATTCCTAGGAAAGACCGTTCTTCAGTTACAGATGTGTTTTGTAGCCATTTTACTGTAGTAGTTTCCCCCTGTATTTTTGCTGCATTGTTTATATAGGTATTGAAGTCATTTGCAGGGGTGGCTAATGATAAACTGACTTTGTATGCCCTTAGAGTTTGGGGGGTTTTGTTTGGGGGGGGAGTTTCTTAAGCCATAGGTTTGGGAATAAAGAAGATTTCTCACTATTAGTTGGAACTGGTTGCTCAGATTTTTTTAATTGATTCTATTTAATGTTCCACCCTCCACTGATTCCTGAGCAGCTAAGTTAGTCACCTGAAATTATTTTTCTCTTAAATAAAACATTAGTGTTTTAAACCAGATATGTTAAGGATTGACCTTTTGCTAACTGGTAGTATTTAAAATGTATCATTTAAAAGTACCTGTTGGAAAGCATAAAGGGAAAAAAACCCCATAGATATTAGCAATATGTCTGGAGCAGTGTTTGCATCTGCTTTGTACAGTAATAGAGAATTAAAGTGGACGGTTGACATTTTTAAGCTTACAGAAACGTTTGGTTTCTAAGCAGAACATAAGAGAGAAAATACAATTTTTACCCATCACCCAAACGTTGGACATTGAGACAGTTTTAAAACTTCCCTGTCAGCTAAAATCAGGTACTGTATAGTGGAGTCAGTATGAAAAAGCTTCTAAATGAAAATTTAGTTATTTTTTTAATCTGTTCACTGCCGTATTAAAGTTTAGAGAAAAAAACCTAGCAAATAGGGTAATCACAGTCACTTCTTTTAAAGCTTAATTATTATATGAAATTCCAGTAGTGTTTTTATTCTTCTTTTTTTGTTTGTTTACTTTTTAATTGTTTCCCTATGGAAGTTCATCTGGGAAAGAACCCACAGAGATCTACAGTTCTGCTGCCAAGACATTATTATAGGACTGACAGATACACGCCAATGTCTGCAGCGGAGACTCAAGGGACAGCTGTACATATGTAAATGACAAATAGAGACATGTTAACAGAAACGCATTCATTTTCCTTGGAATGTGCATTGTTTTTATTTCGCAGGAAAAAAAAAGCTTGAAGCTCCATCTTATGTGGAAAATGAATCCTGTTTGTTAGCGTTTGTGGAGTCTCAGCATTTGTTTCACTTTCACTTCTGTAATATACTCTGATCCTTTGTTTTGTTTTGTTTTATCTACATGTAATATTTAGCTTACGTGTACTAGTCTATCACCTGTGTATTTTTAGGGTGCTACAGAAATAATGAAGAAAAATACGGGGATTAAAAAAAATTGTAACCAAATTCATACTTTGTACAATTTTTGATATCACGATCAGAGGAGAATTAAAAAAAAAAAAAGTACAATCTGAAGTAACATGCAAAAATGGCCATTGTCTTTGTTTGTACATTGTATGTACAGTACAATGCAATCATTTCATACTTTAAACTGGTCAGAAAAAATAATTGTGATTTTTAGTCTTGCAAAACTGTATGTAGTTAGATGATGTGACAACCTAATATTTATCTAATAAATATGTATTCAGATGAAACCTGTATATTAGGTGTTCATGTGGTTATTTTGTATTTAAAGATCAAATTATTTGACTATTGCTAGACATTTATATACTCTGTTGTAACACTGAAGTATTCTCATTTGCTCATGTTAATTTTTTTTTTTCCTAAATAAATTTGCAAAATTAAGGTCTGGCTAATTGGCAGCTGCTTTGTAAATTTTGAGTTTCTTTTTGAAACAACCAACTTTCCTTTTGCCCTCCCTGGTTTGTGTGGATGTGGAAGTCAGTTGCGCAGGACGTACCTTTTCAGGGAGCGGGACTTGCTGCAGGAAGGGAAAGGCGTGAACCACCCTGGAAGAGACACAGAATAAAAAATTATGAATGCAAATTTACTGATAGGCACGGGGTCACATAGAGAAAAGACCCTTCCAAGCAAGGTATTGGTGACTGGCAGTTCAGTACACAGGGCACTGCATATCACCTGAACAAGTAACAATTACTTTGAAATGAAATCTTCGCATGATATGACTGACGGAAAAGGAGGGCTTGTCTCTGGTGTTGGCACGTGTGGAGGGATTAAACATCCAACATAGTAGATGGTTAGCTTTGTCTTTGTTTTAAATCCTCATGAGTTTGATACGTGTCTTTCAATCGGAGCCCGTCATTAAAGTGAAATCGGTGACCTTGGAAGATGACTAAAATGAGATTTTTTTTTTTTTAATGCATCCCCATCTTAAAGTTGAAGGTCTTGGTTTCAAAATGCAGCCTTTGAGTTACAAAGTCTGCTTAATTTATCTGCCTGTTCAACTGTAAGCAGACTGAACTGTGGCACAAGGAATACACACAGGGTCGTATCAACAACAGCTGTGGCATGCACAGATCCTGTCCCGGCGGAGTTCTGCACCCATAGTGAGCCTTGGCCACAGATGCCAGTCACTTTGCATCTGAGAACTTGTTTTAATGGAGAATTACTGAGCATCTCTGTATTTGTATATGGCATTTGTGGAAGTGTTTAGTCTAAACCCACCTTTGAAATGCATTCAAATACATCGGAACAACCTAACCATTTCAGAATATGAGTATCTAT